AATGGTTTCCCTTACGGGATTGCAAACTGCGTCATCGGTCATTGGCCGATGCCACATGGCGCCAACGGCAACAGCTCCGTTTTGCGGAGTCATACTGGATGATTCGGTGCGGCTCTTGAAGGCATGGTTGAAAGAAGCGATGAGAGGTTGCAGCGCCGTGTGGTCGAACATTTTCTGGTTCATGTACAGCCAGGGTTGGGCGTCGCTATTTTGTTCCGACCAGAGTTCCGCAATGTAATGGCTTTCGGGCCCGTCGTTCCACGTCAAATACTGGACGAAGTCGGCCTCTTCCATCTGGTCGAGGATTCCTTTCATACGCATCGGAAGAGCATGAAGACCGGCGCGGTAGACCGAGACGTTGTAGGAGTTCTTGTACTGTAGAAAGCTCAAAGGGACCATGTAAAGCTTGCTGTGGTTGTGGGCGCCTTGAGCAATGCTGAGATCCAGGGAGACATCCCCAGGGCTCTTGCTGCCATAGCCGTCTCTCTCGGGCCATGCGGACTCCCAGCTGAAAAGTCCGTCAACAAGATCTCCCCAGTATTCCCTATCATCCGCAGGTCAGCTTATGCTCGTATGATGTTGTCATGACGGAATGCGTACCACCACCCAGGATGAGATTCGTAGTAACCCGTGGTCTTGTCGAAGTCGGGAATGAAGAACATCTCGTTCGCCAACGTCTCCTTCCACTTGTTCCACTTGACATTGTCGAAGTCTGCAGCGGAGAACGCTTTTCATAAACCGTCAGTCTAATGGCGAGGGGGTCTTGAGGGAATAAATGACACTCACTACTGATGACGGGAAGGCCTTTCCACTGGTAGTAGGATGCACGACCCTTGTACTTCTGGAAGATCCAGTGGTAGTCCAGGGGCTGTGCCTGTGATTTAGAAAATGTGCAGGTTCATACGACAAGACTTGACTCACCCCATTGCACGAGTCGCGTCCATGCCAGCAGGCGTCGCCAGATGCCCAGACGTCCATGGAAACGTACAGGCCAAAGCCACCGATCGAATCTGCTGCGTCGAAGAGATATCCGAGGGATTTGTCGATGAACGAGGCCGTTGGGTCGCCAATGTTCAGTGCAAATCCATCAAATCTGTTGTCTTCTGTGAGCTTTTGACGACACCAGGCATGAAAGATTCAAAAGATTACCCGGTTGCTTTTGCGGACTCTATGTCATTTCTGGCATGCTCTGTTGTGATTGTTCCGAGCTACACAACAGTCAGTGGCAACACTTCGCTGGTATTGATTCCGGTTCTGACCATATAGTGGGCGAAGGAAGCTCTCTGCTGCGCAAGTGAAAGGCCGGAAAGTGAGAGAGCTCCCGCCAAAGCGGTAAAAGCTCGCAAGAAGCGCATCACGACTCTACTTTTTGCCGTAGCCCAAGTTGAGTAAAAGAAACAGTGGTATCGTGGCCAGTAATCTGGTCGTTGTTTAGGAAGTGACCGTGTCCATCCCTTTTATCTCTTTCGAGTGTGGATCTCCAACGATGTCGCAGCCTCTGTTCTCAACTAAAGGATTCCAATGCCGGTTCATCGGACCATGGTTCAGATGGAGTGTGAGTCGGTTTGCCTCAATTGAGACCCTTCTGCAGGAACGGATGGGGAAACTCAGGGTCAGTGTAATTAAGGCAGGCGCAGCTTGACCGAGTATGTCCTGGATCTCGTGTCTTGAGGGGGCACACTAAAAGCAGCAATGGCTCTCTAGTTAGGCCAAGATACCCTGATGTTCGTGATGTCTAGAGTCTCCCTTGAGCTCGGCGCCAGCCCACCTCAGAAATTGCAGAGCATTTCAAGCTTCCTCCTATGTCCTAGTCTATGCCCGTGGGAGCTTTGAAAAATGATTAAACATGGTATTCGATCCTCCAGGCTCCTCTGAGCATGCATGAGCCTTTCGTGACAAGGAATTAAAATCCTTAACGGCAAGCTGAATAAATTGGAAGTAATAGGATTGTGATCCCCGTGAGAGATCCCGTCGGTGGTCCCGCGACACGGGATAGCCTAAAAATCTTTTGCGCGGCCACCTATGTAATGATTTGCTGAAATCTCAATCATCGTTGTGGCTTCAACCTTTTCTGCATCTCGCTAATTCAATGTGAGTGGAATAACGAAAAGAGGGTTGATGGCCGTGAATGCTGCTTATTAGCCGTTGGTTCGGCAATCAGTACCTGCGTCAGGAACATCCCGCCTGTGGTCTTCGTTCCCGCTGTAGCCTGCTTCGCCAAGGTTAATTCAACCATAAATCCACGCGTTAATGCCATGCTGCCTGGACGCGGCCCGATTCACATGTGCCAAATCCTACGGAGGTGACCTCCGTTGGAGGCGTGTGGGATCCTGGCCAATGTCTGGACCGAAGTGGAGACTCAAGTCTAATTACTGAACAAGCTATGGAGAATATGAGGTTATCAACTGATTGAATCTGGGTCACATACAGCACGGCTTTCGGCCGATCCCGGGTGGTCTAGGTTTGCACCAAGTAGCGTTGTTTTGACGGAAGTGAGCTCCGTGGAAGAGGCACAAACAGCAGGAGACCACAAAAAACAAAACTTTGCTGGTACTGCAAGGAATTCTTTCTGCATTATAAGTATTGAGCCTGCCCCTCTCACGTTCCTGTAAACAATCCCGAGGACCTACATCCAGTCCCCATGGGACTTTCTTGGCTGGCTCGGGCCGACCCGATGTAAACATTCGGCTAATTGTCTGTTCGCCGCCATAGTGATATAATTGCTGGACGTCAGATGATACTGAGTTGGTTGAAAGAACTCCCGCTACGCCTATGTTCACGTACATGAATCTCATCGAGATGCTAGCTGCAGATGCGACTTGAAAGTTGCTGAATGGGTGCTTGGCTCGTTTTGCGACAACTCCAGAGGATCATTGGTACTTTTCGCGGAATGGAACGAGATCTTCTCTCTTTCGGCGAGGGAAATATGGGCCCGCAAAGGAGATCATGATGGAAAGCGTTGTTTCTCAAATGAGGCAACAACAATGACTTGCTCACTTTTTGTTGCACTCCACGAAAATTGGCCTGGGGCCTGACAACAGAGGCTCCTGAAGGGTCGTTGAATTTGCACGTTTTTTGTTTCTTGCATGATTCAGGCTGCCTAGAAACGGTCGGTATACCAGTAGAGTTTCTAGAAGAGTAGATTATGTTCGGATGGTTGCAGTGGCACGGATCAAAGTGCATGGTCAATCGAAGTTTGTCCTAATTTGGCAGCGAAATGGGACATCTCATTGGTCAAGACAAAGCTTCGTAAGTGGTGGGTTGTATCGTCCAAGGTCCATCCTCCTGTATGTTGCACTCTCGGTCGTTCTATTCTTCCGTTCATAATTGGAAGAGTCGAGCAATCAGACGACCGTTGTTACTGAATGAGCACGCGATGATACTGAATCTCGAAAAAGAGCTTACGAAGCGGGTGGTCTTCCGCGACTGGCCGGTTTGCGGTGCCGAGGCCCCTTGCTTACTAGTAGACCTGAAACCGGTTGAAGACGGCCATTATAGAGGCATTATGCAGAGGAATTGATATCACTCGCATTTGAGTTGCAACATGACATTTATCAGAATCATATAGCTATTGGGACCTTGATTGTCTATCTATAATTATCTCATTCTGTCTTCAGTTCGTCCAAGTTTACCCGAGCATGTGGGATTCTGCCCAAGCACATGGCCACCGGCTCCCACTTTCGCAGGTGCCCCCCATCTTACGCGAAGTTTGGCCAAGCTGGGTGGAATCACAGGGCGAGGATGGTTTCGCGCTAATGTTCGTTGCGTCTAGCTTCAAGTCAACAGCAGAGACTGTGGAGCCCAGCCAAGCGATTGCGCCTCGGCGAACCAAGCCGTCTCGACCTCCAAGCTGGGAAAAAAGATAGATTCAGTCGAGAATGCGGGGCAAGCAACACAAGCAGCCGTGCCAATGTCATCACACAGGTGAGCACGTTGAGCCCGCGACTGCCGGGCATCATGTTCGTTATCGCTTTGTTAATGTTTGCCAGGGTCCGATGCTGCGCCGGCTGCCATCTTTCCCGCTCTCGGACAGTAAGATGAGGCTCCGCTGACATGCCAAAATTGGTGTTTGCCTGGGTCAAGCGAAGGGCGAAGCGCGCGCGATGCTACAGCAATGGGTCTCGCTTCACTCTTAGCTGTCGCAAGCCTCGACCGCCCTTAGTGTGCTCCACAGCTCAAGAACTCGGCAGAATCGGCTGCTGTTAGCGGCGAGCTACCGTACATTTCTGAATGTTCTTTCTGCGGGATGTCATGTCAGTTGTACTTATATGATTGTCTTCTGTTCATTCCATCCTAAACTCATATTATTTCACTTGAGAACGGAATTCCGTGAGATTTAACCGCTGACCTTGACGCAACACATGAGGAGCGCTTGCAGAGAATGGACCTCATCGCTCTTGGCTTGTGAACTCTTCACAAAAACCAAGAACGTCTGCTGACTCGTTGGGTTGTACGATGCCAGAATTTCTGCCTTTGAAGGAGAGAATACCTGGAAAACGCCACCATACTTGGAACCATCGTCTCTCTCGCAATTTCTCATCAAGCCGACGACCTGAACCTTGAGCAAAAGTCACGTACGAGTTCCACTTGGCACCAGTCACAGGGCTGACTAGCTGGCCGACATCTGTCATTAAGTTGACCCTGATCTTCGCACGGCCCCGTTGACAGCTGCTATTACGAGGCCATGCTCGCAGCACAATGCAGTTCGACCACCAGGGTCATGACTTTTGACACCTTCGCCAGTTGACTGATGGGTCTGAAGTAAATTATGCAAGACGTTTGGTACGAACTCGTTGTATAATAGAGTTATCTCGGAAATGCCAAAGCTCGAAACAATCATGGAGCTGGGTCGATATAAAGATTCCTAATAGCCTCCAGACCGATGCGGTAATGAAGATGAAGTCAGTCACATTCCTTTGTACAGTCCTTACATCATGTCTTTCACTTTTCGTTCGTTCCTGGCAGGCTCCCTGTTGGCAGTCTCGCCAATCGTAGCCGCTATGGAACCCATCGTTAAGCGGGCCCGCTTCGATGCCGAAGCCGTCATCATCAAGGGGACGTGGTCATGCACCCCTGAACAAATCCTCACTATCGACCAGGCCGTCGTCGACGCCCACGAGTTCGCAAACGAAGCTCTCACTGCGCTCAAGAACCCCAATGTTCTGAGCTCACCGGCCTATTACAACTGGTTCGGGTCCGGTACGCCCACCCCTATTTCTCTTCATCTTCATAACCACTGACTAAACTCTCACCATCAGACGCCGGCGATGGCCCCTCAGTTGCTACCCTTCGAGACAGACACTACCAAGTTGTCATCGACTCCCTCAAGCCCCCCAGCGTAGAGACCGCCTTCCGCTTCAAGCCAGAGCCCTTCTTCCCTCCCAAGACTGTCACGGAGAACAGTCTCGTCTTTGGTTGCTCCGGAGCCACGGGCCCCTGCGCAAATGGCGCCATGGTAGCGGGCGTGAACAGCGCGACGGAGAGTCAACCAGCCGTGTTTGGTACCACCATGCTGCTTCTATGTGAAACCTTCTTCGATACTACGCGTGCGTCAAACAAGAAGATGATTGAGAACTGGAGGGCCGAGGGCTCTGTTGGGGATATGTCGCGCGGCTTCGCCTTGGTACACGAGGTCCAGCACATGCTTATCGCCACGGGAGACGGCGAAAGAGCTGATGATCTGAACAACCCGTTCTTTAGCATCGTCGACGATAGATCTGAGGATTGCTACTCTGCCAACTGGTGAGTTGAGCCAAACAAGACTTGAACGATCGAGCGTCCGACTGACGCGAAACGATAGCTGCGCTCGTTTGTCTGCGGCCGAGAAGGCCAAAAACGCGCAGAACTACGCCATCTTCGCCCTCGACGTGACGGCGTTTCCCATTACGAATGAGCAACCCAATGCTTGCCAAGCGCCTGCCCGACCATCTACGCTGGCTAAGGTGAGACGGCAAATAAGCTTCTCCAACTCGACCATGTCGTCCAGACCACCATCGTCGTCCGCTTCAGCCACGCGCACTCCCATTCCGCCAGTGCACCCTAGCTCAACTTCGCAGCGTAAGTTCCATCTCCGTCAGCTGAGCCTCATGGATAGTTCCTGATCAATTCTCTGCAAAACAGCACCTGCCTCGAGAGTCTCTTCTGCCAGGCCCTCATCCAGCGCCGAAGTCGTCGAAGTCTCCGGCGCCGTCGCTGTCATTATCCCCGTCGGCGCAGTCGCATTCGGCGGTCCGGGTGGCGGCCTCGCCAACTTCGGCGGTGTGATCGTCCCCGTCCCTGAAGGCCAGACCGTCAGCGACCCGTCCAAGGACCCTAAACCCTCGGGCGATGCTCCATCAACCACACCCAGACAGCCGAGCACCACCAGCTCGGCGCCTGCCACAAGCTCCAGCTGCGCGCCCCCGGCACAGAAATCGTACGGCCCAGCGGTCGAGAAGGTCTGCGAGGACTGGTCCGGCATGAACCAGACGGCCTTCTTGGGACTCATGGACGCGGTCCCCGTGGTCGACTGGGAGGGCGCCCCCGTCGTGTCCACTACGTCCATCTTGGAGACTGTGGAGCCGTCTCCCACCTCGCTGGTCGAGGTCATCACCACTGTTGCACCTGCGCCGCCGACCACCACCTCCTCGGAGCCAACCGTCGCGCCCGTAGCGTGTTATAACTTTGACATAAATGCTTACGGATACTGCTGTCCTGGCCCTGGTAACCCATGCGAGAATGACCTCGGCAAATGTTACTTCAACGGGGAGGGTGTCTCTGGCGGAGCTAGTGGGATCGTGCCCGATGGCGCGAGATGCCCTCCGCCCCCTGGCGCTGAGTACTGCAGGGGGCCCTGCGAAGAGTGAGGATAATGAGATGAATGGGATTGGCGATGAGCGCATATGTGAATCTAATTCGCTGTCAGCTATATATGATGTGTAGCACATTGTTGAATACAGCTTTCAAGGCCTCCCAGTCTACTTAGTTTTGCTATGGTGATTTTCGTTTTTGTTGCCAATGTCGTCTCTTATCTGACAATTGAATAAAGTTGGTGGTAGTCGAGAAAAGAATTAGCAAGTCAATTCAAGTCGTAATCTGATTTAAGAATGCGGAACCACGAAACGGAAAGCATGAAATTGAAGCTGAGACGCTAGATGCTGCCACCCATGGGATAAGTGACAGCTGTTAGAGGTTCCTACAGCAAACAAACTAATTAGGCTTATTACGCTATATCTCCTGATTGTTATCATTATCAAGGTAACAATTCCCCGTTTCTGGGCTCTGAAGAGAGCTCAAACCGGAAGCGTCCCAGAGAAAGATGTTCGCGAGTCGCAACAGCATCTTGGACTTCCGAGTCTCAAGCTTCCCCCTTGGCACTGAGGGAAATCACAAATACGGGACGTTATTCTAGAATGTGCCGCAAACGTTCGATGCAAGACTGTTCCATAGTGGAGTGAATGATTCAACGTCAAGTCTCTGAAGCAGCCGCACCTTTCCTCTCTGGTTCCGCAGTATCCTCGGCCGTGAGCCAGTCCTGCATCTCAACTAAAAGCTTGCGGCATTTCTGACGCTGGAATCTCTGTAGATTAGGCCATCGACACTTGCGATAGATTTCTTGGGCTTCCTGTACGCTAATTCAGTATTTGAATGAACTCCCGCGTAGTTTGTCCATAGGAGAAACTCACATCTACCCATTTATGATGAGCACGCATCCACTTCGGTTGCCACACCTGCCATTCGCTCCCGCTGGAATCACCTGGCACAGGGAACATCTCGAGCGAGATCATGTCTTCGCACAACCCGTCGAAATACTCGAAGGCGGGCACGGGTCTGGCCGTGCGCCATTGCTCGTTTTCTGGGATCTCCTCTTCCGGTCTTGAGGTGTAGGCGTCGTGGGCAGTGAGCTCACCTTCGACGCGAAAGGGTTAGATGAGGGGGACTCCCAGCCCGATCGAAAGGCCCATTATTGACCCACCTGTATTAGTATCGAGTAACCACCACATCCCTAGCCTGTCTCCTCCCAGCGGTTGGGAGAGTGGGACTATGCCTTGTGGGATTCTTCCCTCTGGCAACGGCCAGAGTCCGACAAGATTGGGGTCCTCGAGTTGATAGTTCTCTTCAGGCCCACAAAGGATATTTCGGAAATAGTTGATGGTCTGGGTAGACGGGAATATGGGCCTGCGGCTGGTGACATACGGAAGATGTCGGACCAGGTCAATCGTCGTGTCGTTGAAACCGAGGCGTCGCAGGTTCTCGAGGGGGATGATGTCGTCGCCCCAGCCTCCTTCGGGTGAGTAAGCGATGTGTTCAGGTCTGATTGAGACCATCTTGGAAAGCAGTTCATAGTATCGTTTGATGCTTCCGACAATAGCATCCCGGTCATACGTCGGACCGGTGTTTTCTCCCTGCGATATGGAAGCTTCGGTGGACATGTTCACAAACCGAATGTGGTCTTGTTGTCGATGTTGATGCCTGGCACAACTCAGGATGATGGTTGCTAAGTTCCTGAGTGCAACCAGATCCCCGCAGGCACCCGAGACTAGATTGATTCTTTAGACTTGGCGCCAGTATGTTATTGGCCAGGTAATATCGGAGGCTTATTTCCTCTTGCATCTAAACCCCAGTCGTTCCGGCCAGGATAAGCTCGGCATGGCTGCAGCTACAGGGATACCAGTAATAGGCTCCAGGCCTCGGATGGCGTCTCTATACACGTTGCTTCCTTGACCTTGTTTAAGCAACAAGAGAGATAACCATCAAGATGAGAATGAACTAGCAATAAGAGACAAGAGGGATAATTATCAACACGATCGATAGTTGGTAGCAGACCAGCATGAGGGGGAACTAGCAACATGAAGACCCCGATCTCATTACTCAGAGCTGAACATTAGATTCATTTCTCCGAGATGGCCTTCTCCTCGTCTCTTCTCCGATGTCTCGGCCTCAAAGCCGCAAGCCTCTTGCGAATAGGTTTCCTCTCACTCACAGCTGTTGCCGCGACAGGCTGTGACAGCGAAGACCTTCTCTGCCTGCTCAACTGCGTTGACGCATCCAATGATGAGGGTGGAGAGCTCTTCGAGCTAGAAGCAGCCTTGTCCTTCCTCCTAATCTCGAAGAAGTTCCACACGTTCTGGTACATCTGCTTCGCCTTGCCCTGGGTGATGAACTCGTAGATCTGGAGGGACAGGGCGATGAGGAGCAGGGTGCCGAAGAGACTCAGGACTGTGTTTGACGTTAGATGTTACATGTCAAGCGATAAAAACACTAGTGTTACGTACCACATGCAATGATTAGAGTGCCTGCGGTTGTGGGACTTGCCAGCCCTTCAATGCTGACTTCGAAGATGCCTGTTGCCCAGGACAGAGGAGCCTGTGAAACTTTGTCAGATCCTGTCAGATGTTACATGAGTGGTAGAACTTACAAAGACGACGGTGGCGCCGGTGAAGATGAAGAGGATCTTGGACTGCTCGCTGGCGGATAGAGCTTCTTCGATATTTGCCTCGCGTTGCCTGAGATCCAACAATGTCGTGATCTGCTTACTGTCAGCGCCCGTGCATACTCAGAAATCGTGCCAACCTACCGAGTCTCGCACACGATTGGCATCCTCCTCCAACCTCTTGAAGAAGTCCAAGGTCGGATGCTTGAATGCCTTCCTCGCCGCATCCTTGCCATCCCCGCACTTCTCCCCAATCTCCGAGCCCCTGAACTCCTCATACACGCGCTCTTGAGACCGTAGCACACGCTTAATCATGTTGATCTCCTCGCGGATATCGTCAATCTCTTGGAGGAGCTCAATCTCCGCTCGCAAGTCGTCCAACACGGTCTTGGACGTGCCCATCTTCTTGATGGACGCCTTGAACTCGGCGTAGCGCTTCATCGCCTCGTTGGACTAGCCACTGTTAGCACCCATGACCACCAAAATTTGGTGACGTCTTGACTTACAACATGTGCAATCGAAGATGCAAAGACAGTGCAATAACTCTTCGGCCCCTCAAACTGGAAGTGAAACTCTTCCTCGCTGTATCCCAGCGCGCTTTCGAGGATACTCTCCACGATGCGCATCATATCCGTGTCCTCAGACCTCAAATCCCTGATCCCCAAAACGCGATGCTTGATCTCGTTCAGCAGCGTCTTGGCGTTCTTGTTATCCCACCGATCAGGGAACGCAGTGATGATCGTATCTGCTCCATCGTCAGCAAACACCTGTCCCCCCTAAACTTCGTTCCTCCAGAAAACAAACTCACTCTCGTCAATCCTCCACACCCAAAGCTGCGCCACACACAAAATCTGCTTCCGCCTCTCCGTATCCATCCTCCTCTTCTCCCTTGAAATCTTCGCCTGCACACTACTCGCCTGGTCCTGCCGCCCCGCCATCCTCCCCAGCTCCGCCTTCGTCCCGTCCGTCTTCTTCTGCTTCGAGCTCGCCTGCCGCGAGAACGTCCGCTGCACGTGCCTCTCAAACGGGCTCTTTCCCTGCCCCTGCGCGTCCTCCACCAGCGGCGGCGGACACGCCTCCTCCGCCGTCTGCTGCTGCTGCTGTTGTTCTGCAGCCAACCGCCCCTCGACCCGCCGCAGGTACCGGAAGAGCACCTGGCTCTCGTTGCGCAGCGCCAGGTCCGCCGCGCTGAGGGCCTCGTGGTAGGACTGGTCCAGCGGCCGCGGGACGTGGTACTCTGACTTGGTGAAGCTCGCGCGTAGCTTCGCCATGGCGTCGAAGTGCGCGAGGTGCGGGAAGAGGTAGTGCTGGAGGTTGGTCGGCATCGCGGTTAGGAGGTGCCGTCGCTGCGTCCCACCGCCGGCAGCTCCTTGCGGGACTACCACGCGTCTGTCGTTGCCGGCGACCATCTCGAGAGGCCGCGTCAGCCGCGCCTCGTCCCCGATCTGCACGTTCCGAAGGCTGTTCTTCGTGCCCTCGTCGATGTCGACGTCGATAATGGGCAGCACCATCGAGAACATCCTCCCGCCAGGCGTTGTCGTTGTCGGCTGCGGGATGGGCGGCGTCGGCGGTCCAACACCCAGCCCCACCGCCTCCTCGACAGCAGCAGCAGCAGCCTCCATCTTGAAATGCGGCCGGCGGTAAAACTCCCCCGTCCGCATCTCATGGAATGTCTCCTCAATAAACGCCATGATCCGGTTACACTCCGCGTCCGTCCGGTGATCCATCGCGCACACGCGCTGCACCAGATCCATCACCCACGCCACATTATTCGCAGGCAGGTGCAGCCACCTCTTCACCGGCCTCTCCGGCATCCGGCTCGCGTACGAACTCTTGCGCCGGCGCTGCTGCTGGCCCCTCTTCATCTCCTTCATCGTCAACCCCCCGGCAGTCGTTCCCGGGGGCGAAAGCAGCGGGCTCCGCGGCGGGCTCGCAGCCGGACTGGCCCCCGGCGACACCGCAGGGCTGCGCACCGGACTCGCCCCGGGACTCCGCACCGGCGTCGCCGTCCCACCACCCTTCGGCGTCCCCACCACAGCCGGCACCCTCGGCGTCAACCGCAGCTCCGTCTCCGGATCATACAACATATCCCACACGCTCAGCCCCTCAAACCTCACCTCGCTCGTCGGACACCAAAACAACCCCTTAAAATGCCGACACGCCTCCCTCTCATCCTCCTGATTCGGCCTGCCCGGCGGCCTACACCGCTTCGGCCGGAAATTCGACACCACCCCCTGCCTGACCTTCACCTGCGGCGCCTCACACAAATCCGCGATCGAATTCCGATTCAGCACCCTCGCCAAACTCTGCGGCGTCTCCCCCGTCGCGCTGATCACAGTCGGATCCGCCCCAGCCTCCAGCAGATCCCGCACCATCGCCTTGTTCTCGTTCTTCACCGCGTGGTGCAGCGGCGTGCAGTCCTCCGTATCCCTCAAATTCACATCCGCCTCCGCCGCCAACAAACTCGCCACCACCGCCGCGTGCTCAAACATCACGCCCGCATGCAGCGCCGTCTGCTCATCCCGGTCCTGCAGATCCACATCCGCGCCCGCGGCAATCAATATCCTCACCACCCCGTCGTGCCCCTCCGACGCCGCCTGGTGCAGCGGCGTGCAATACTCATTCGACAAACTATCCACGTCCGCCCCCTGCTCAACCAGCATCCGCACAATCGCCTCCCGCCCATGCCTTGCCGCGACGCTCAAGGGCGTGAAATCGTTCGCGTTCTGCGCTTCGATAGAGACCATCCCCGTCTCCAACAACGCCATCACGACCCCCTCATGCCCGCCCCGCGCCGCGTCATGCAGCGGCGTATCCCCCACCGCATCCCTCGTCGCCGGATTCGCGCCCGCCTCCAGCAGCACCCCAACCACGCCCTCCATGCCGCGCCGCGCGCCAACATGCAGCGCCGTCCCGCAGTCCCGATTCGGCGCGTCCACCACCGCGCCCGCCGCGATCAGGACTCTTGCGATCTCAGCGTGCCCGTTGCGCGCGGCCTCGTGCAGCGGCGTCTCGTCGAAGCTCTCCTCCGCGCGGACGTCTGCGCCCGCGGCGAGGAGGGTCGTTACAACTTCCAGATGGCCATTGCGGGAGGCGAGGTGCAGGGGCGTGCATCTGTCCGCGTCAAGGGGGTCGACGACCGCGTCGGGCCCGGCGGTGGAGATGGCGGCGCGGACGATCTCGGGGCGGCCGAGGCGGGCGGCGTGGTGCAGGACGGTGCGGTTGTCTTCGTCGACGTAGCGGAGGACGGAGGGGAGGGAGGCGATGAGGTGGAGAGCTGGGGATGGCGGGTCGGGGGGAGAGGTGGCGATTACTTCTATCAGTTGGATGTATGCTTTTTCATCGTCAGTATGGAGGAGACTGAGGGAAGGGAGGTGGTTTACCTTCTTTCATGGGAGAGTGGGAATCCATGGCTGCGGTTACGAAAAAGAGCGTCGCATAGATTTACGTGAGAAACCAGTTCCAAACCAAAGTCAGCTAGAGAAACAAAGGAAAGAAAATCATCCTGTATAAGTCGCCATCTCTCCTCATCTGAAAACCACCTCGCGCCGTCCCGCTGACAGTCATCGTGAAGCGGGTGACACTTACACGAGCGCACAATTACGGGACCTCATCCGACCACGAAAAGGCGCGGCGAAATGGGTCCTGGTCTTAAAATCTGACAAGTGCCGGCGCTGCCTCAATAACCTCAGACGGCAGACACTCTCTGAGATCCAAGGCGATCGGTCATGCAGCCAGGCGTTTGAGACATTTCGGGGCCGCGCCTCTCACGTGGGAAAATCACCATTGTCGGGGTCACATTTCGCAACCACTACGAACGACCTAGTAAAAACTTTTTTTTTTTTTTTGGTGTCAAAGCATTTCATCGTCCAACCATTACACATGACCATTTTACCTCATGTCTTCCCGCACTCACCCACCCACCACAAACGCCTCTCCCTTTCCAGCCACCCCGGCTTACCGACCGACGCGGATAACTCCCGCCGCCACCAGCTTCTGGATCTTTGACCTGATTTCGGGGTTCTTCATGTGCTCCGTCAGCGCCGCCGGATCCGATTGCGCCTGCTGGAGGATGGACTGCATGATGGGGTCCTGCATGATGCTCATGATCTGTGCGAAAGCTCGTTAGCATCTTTTTCACGGACGGAAGGAATGTAAATGTCGACCGCAAGCTACTCACCTCGGGGTCCTTGGCCAGGCGCTCCCGCGTCTGGTCCTCCGTCTCGTTCTCCCGCGCCGAGTACATGGCGTTGAACGCCTTCTGCTGCTGCTGCTCAATCTCGCGCGCGTTGGCGCCCTTGTGGTGCTCGAGGTCGACCTTGGCCGCCTCGGTGCACGCGTCGACGCACTTGGAGTACTCGCGCATGCCGAAGAAGGCCTGCGCCTTGCGGATGTACGCGCGGATGAAGGTCGCGTCCTTCTTGATCGCCGTGTTGCAGTCCTCGACGGCGCTGGGGAACTCGAGCAGCTTGACAAACGCCGCGGCGCGGTTGCTGAAGCCGCGCGGGTCGTCCGGCGCGCGCTTGATCATCTCACTGTACGCCGCCACCGCGCCCGGCCAGTCGCTCTCCTTGAACTTCTTGTTGCCCTCCTCGCGCGCCTCCTCGGCCTTGGCCGGGTCGATGTACGCGAGGCGCGACTGCTCTGTCTTGGTGCGCTCCGCGGCGCGCAGCTTGGCGTTGACGTCGGGCGTGCGGTGCTCCGTGAGCGACTTCTTGTAGTTCTCGATGGCGAGGTCGAGGTTGCCCTGCTTCTCGTACGCGGTGCCGATGCGGGCGTACGACTTGGCGATCATCTTGAAGTCGGCATAGATGGCGCGGCCCTCCTCGACGGCCTTGGTGCACGCCTCGATGGCCTTCTCGTAGTCGCCCTTCTCAAAGTAGGCGGCGCCCAGGTTGTTCAGGTAGGTGATGTCCTTGTGCAGCTCCCAGGCCTTGGTGTAGTGCTCGATGGCCTGGTCGAAGTTGCGCTTCTTGTAGTTCTCGGTGCCCAGGGCCTTCTCCTTGTCGGCGGCCTCCTTGGCCTTCTTCTTCTCCAGGGCCTCCTCGTCCAGCTCTTCGGGCTCGGGTTCCGGCTCGGGGGTGGGCGCCTTCTTGGGGGCAGCGGGCTTCGACTGGGGAGCGGGGGCGTCGGGCATCTCGGTGTCCTTGGAGGCGCCGGGCATGTCGTCGGGCATACCCATCTGCATGTCGACGCCCATGAGGACGCCGAGGACCTGCAGCATGCGGGGATCGCTGAAAAGGTCGGGTGAGGCCTTGGGGTTCTCCTTCATCTGCTGGAGCTTGGCCATGAAGGAGGGGTCGGAGAGGAACGAGCTCGTCTTGGGGTTCGCGGCGAGCTTCTGGAGGAGCTGGGGGTCGTTGAACATGTTGCCGAGGCCGAGGCCCGGGTCGCCGGCGTCTGTCGTCGTTAGCTTCTCACAGTGTAGCAGGTCATGCAGGTAAGAACATACCACCACCAGCTTCCGCCTTCATGGCCTTCTGCACAGCGGCGAGATCCTTCTTCAGGCCGGCATTGTTGGGGTCGACCTTGAGTCCCTCCTCGTAGGCGTCGTTGGCAGCGAGCAGGTCGCCCAGGCCGTAGTAGGCGGTTCCCTTGCGTCCCCAGCCCTTGGGCCAGTCGGGCTTGATCTCTGTCGTCTTGTTCGCGTCGTCCAGCGCCTTTTGCCAGTCCTTCTTGGAGGCGTAAGCGGCCGAACGGTTGCTGTAGAGGATGTGGTTCTCGGGTTGGAGGGCGATGGCCTCAGTGAACTTGGCGCTGCACATTTTCTTGTCAGCTCTGATTTCCGTTTCCCATGTCGAATGTTCCGGGTTACTTACACGGCCTCGTCAAAGTTCTTCTCGGCAATGGCCTTGTTGCCGAGAGCCTTGAGCTCGTCTGCGGAAGCCATGGCTGATGTGTGTTTGTTTTCGTGCTATGCCTTGGGAATGAACGTTTCGAAAAAAAGAGAACAAAAAAACAGCAGCTTGTAATTACAGTCGCGGGTATGTTCGTCGAAAAGGGGGGGTATTCGTGAGGGTTTTCAACCGTGATGAGAAGAAGATGCAGAGGGAAAAGGTCAAGATTTCAGGCCGCGGGGTTCAGTCAGGCAAGGCGGGACGAAAGGCAGAAAGAAAACAGAGCCCCAGAACAGGCCCAAAAGCTCACCACCCGAGTGCCTTCTAGCTGTTTCGATGGTTGGACCGGCGGCCGGCCCTGATTGGGTGGGAGCGGCCGGGGTGGCTGGCCAGTGCGGGTGGTGGGGTTCAAGGCTGAGCACAGCTCGCCCTGCCAAAGCGAACCAACTGGGAAGTTGCCCCTCACCCCCCTCACCTTGCCTGGAACCTGCCTCTCACCTCGGTGTGGAGGACTGACATCTCGGTGAGCTTGCAGTTCAGGCAGGTGTAGGGTGAGGAAGGTGACCAGGGGACTTCGGACGACATGCGCCTTTCGTCTGCGACCGAGCGCAATGTCAGCACTACTGCGCCGTACACCGCATTCAGACCGGATTTGACGCGACGCGGTGTGTTTATAAGCAAGGCCAAGTATCCCATTTCCTCAAAAACCACACTGCAAACCCTTCGCACTAACATCGTGACATCCTCACTTACACGCACCCCAAAATGGCCTCACCACCACCAATCCCCGAGGTAACCCTCTACGACCTCGCCTGCACAAAAAACACCTGCTTCTCCCCAGCCGTCTGGCGCATCCGCCTCGTCCTCAACTACAAACGCATCCCCTACCGCACCGTCTTCCTCGAGTTCCCCGACATCGAGCCCACCCTCTCCGCCCTCAACATCCCGCCGTACCCCCAGAGCAAGCACAAGTACACCGTCCCCGCGATCCACCACCTCCCCTCAGACACGCATATCATGGACTCCCTCCCCATCGCAAAGTTCCTCGAGGAGACCTACCCTTCCCCGGCGCTGCCGCAGTCCACCCCCCGCGACGCCGAGATCATCGCCAAGCTGCGCGACGTCGCGGGCCCGATTGCGTTTGCGTCGGTGATGCCCCGTGAGCCGGGCATGCTCTCGCCCCGCGCGGCGGAGTACTTCCGCCGGAGCAGGGAGGCGGGGCTCGGGGGCAAGACGCTGGAGGATGTGCTGGCTGGGGAGGATGCCGTGTGGGAGAAGGCGCAGGAGGGGCTGCGGGAGTTTGATGAGTTGGTGCAGGAGGTCCGGGGCGGGAAGGCGTTTGTGGGCGGGGATGAGCCTAGTTTGACGGACTTTTTCATTGCGGGGGGGTTGCAGTCGTTGAGGACGGTGGACGAGAGGTTGTTTGAGAGGTATGCCAAGTGGGAGAATCTCAAGGGGGTTTACGAGGCGTGTGTGCCCTGGATGAACAAGAAGGATTGAGCTGGCGAGGAAATTGTGGCACGGCGATGTGAGTGGTGAGCAGTCTTTGATATCAGAATATAGACATATTCGACTTTTCTCAATCCAGTAGACTTATTGTGGTCGACTTGCCCCTAATCATATTGTCTTGCTGAGAATACTCGCGAGTAATCGTACTTGTGTGACGCAAGCCCTGATATGTCACCCTCTTCATGCCAGGCCGTTCTCTCCAACCCCCATCACCACCTCACTCCTCCTTCTTCGCCAACGCAACAACACTAAACTCCAAATTCCCATCCGCAAACCCAATAAACCGCTTCACCCCCCTCCCCAACGCCCCCTCACTCAACATATCCTCCCCCTCCCCCAACACCCCACGATCCACAGGCCCATCACTGCCCCCCTCCAGCTCCCACAAATGCCCATCCTTCCCCCTCACAAACGCAATAAAATGGTACCCCGGCTTCTCCTCCGCCGGCGGCACGTACGTATCCCCCCTCCGCGCCGCCTTCATATGCGCCTCCTCCAGCTCCTCGCTCTCATACAACACCGCCGCCCTCTCCTCCCAGCCCAACGGCTCCGCCTTCTCCAACAACCGATCCATCAGACTCCCCTTGCTCACAAACTCCCGCGCCTCCCCGTTGGCTACTGCGTGAATCAGAGCATAGAGCCCGCACGCGTTGCCGATCGTCTGGCGGAACCATGTCACGGGCTCGCCGGCGCCGGCGCCGGCGTAGGTGACCCCGTCGTGCGCGAGGCGGGTGCCGTCCTGCGCGCGGACCTGGTGGTACATGGGCGAGGGGGTGATGAAGATGAGCGCGAGGGCGGGGCGCGGGATGAGGGACAGGAGGGCGGGTTCGTCGAGGGAGTAGACGTCGTAGAAGCCGAGTTCGGGGGAGATGCCGAGGTCGTGGATGAGCGGGGTGAAGACGTCGGGGTTGTTTTCGATGGGGATGAAGGTCTTTTTGCCGCTGGGGCTGAAGTAGACTCCTTCGGCGGGCATGATAGGTTTTTTTGGGGTCGATGGTGTTTTGATGGGTTTGTGGTGATTTGGTGGAGTTATTGCAATTGGTGAGTTATGTTAGCGAGGAAAGAATGGCTGTGGAAGTTACCATGGCGGTGAGTCGAGGTGAGGTGCTTGACTTACAACAGGCAGGAAGGTGTGCGCAACCCGTCCGGTGCCTGCCTGCCAGTTCGGGGCGCACGCTGATTCGTCCGTGCCATCAGATTTGGCAATTCAAACGTAAAGCCCGACAATGCGACGTGCTCGGTCTTGGATCTTTTGTTTCTCAGTTGGCGGCATCTGGCAGATTCACAATGAAACGTTGGGGGCAGATTTGTCTGGATAATGGGCTGAAATATGCAAGTGCTATTAATCAGTGCGTGCCATATGGAACCACTGCGGACCATCTGTCGCTGACCTGCGTTTGTTGCGGAGTATTTCCTCAACTTGGAACATCAAACGAGCCCTGAGAAAGATAACCAAATATATTTTACCAGACATATCAATGCTTGGGACCGAGATGCAGTTTGAAGAATCATGTTCATCCGGCAGACTCCCGTTCAAGACCCACCACCCCGGCCATCGAGCCAAGCTTCCATTGGACTTCCCCAGACTTCCAGGGACGTCCCGAAGCTCTTCGGACATCGGCAGGTCTGCAAGGTCCGAAAGCCCCGGTCGACGTGCCATTGCTCCGTAATCATCAGGCCGCCCGTCCAATCCAAGCCGCCTCGGCTCCCCATCCCGTCGGATGTCATGATCCCACAGCGGCATTAGCGGGAGCTCCCCAGGTGAAACCGCGCCAGAGCTCCCTGCAAGTCACCCCAGCAATGGCTGCACGGGCCAATGAGGACATGCCTTTTAATCAGCCAACTTTCCTCGACCCCCCGACGGTTCCTCAGAAGCTTGCTGGAACACTGGAACAAGCTCCCGGAGACGTGCAGCTCTGCGTCCGTCACGCAACACCACTCCAAGGGGCAAGGACGTCACCGAATCGTACCACTTTTGTCGCCGTATATCACCGCCCTCCCTCGCCGCACTCCGGGCCGTCTGGCATCCTTCAAAATGGCCGGATATCTCTTGCTTGTGATCCCAAGCATCCTCATGAGCTTGCTCTTGTCGAGATCACCATTCATGATGACCACTACACCGCAGACGACGAAGCCATGGGCTGATGGGCCTATGAAGCTCATCCCCACGCCGCAATACGTGACCAAGAAGGTTAGCCACGGTCCCGGAGAATTGGAGGCCATTGGCCCCACTGAAGAAGCTTCGACTGACAGAGCATCGAACAGACCGACCTCTTCACGACCGGTGCGACGCACATGTGCTTGCTGCACAACTCCATCCTCCGTGGATATAACTCCATCTACCACCAAGCCCCATTGATCCAGGAGGCCGACAAGGCAGACTTTGTGGGGTACTCCCAGGCCTGGTTCAAGTTTGTCAAGTCGCACCACGATGACGAGGAGGAATCTCTCTTTACAAAGGTCGAGGACCTCTTGAACGACAAGAATGTCTTTGCCGAGACGCACAAGGAGCATGGTACGTTTTTGGCGTCAGCAAGGGGCCAATATTTCCACTAACAAAAGTGCAGAATCTTTCCTCGGTGGCCTCGCGGACTTCAACACCTACCTCTCGTCATTGTCCTCGCCCTCCGACTTCTCCGGCGCTAAGCTCCTCGACATCATGAAGGGCTTTCAGGAGCCGTTCGAGAACCACTTCCACAGCGAGATCAGCACCATCGCCGGCCTAGCGGAGCACCCGAATGCGCCGAAGGAGGGGACACCGGAGGCGGCGAACGCGAGCTTGACGTTCAAGACGTGGGGCAAGAGCACGGTGACCAAGGCCGGCACGGCGGATGTCGTCCCGTTCTTCCTGCTCAACCTGGACCGGACGGTGGAGGACGGGTTGTGGGCGAACTGGCCGCCCATGCCGGCGCCGATCAAGTGGGGACTCATCAATATCGCCGGCGCGTGGCACTGGGGTTGGTGGAAGTTTGCCAGCTGCGACGCGTCGGGGCAGCCGAGAGAGCTGTACGCATTGCAGAATGCATCGGCGGAAGACAAGGCGAAGGCCGAGCTCTGAGGTGTGGTGAAGAAAGTCGTTCGTGTTCAATCAAGGGTCGGCGTTGGCGGGAGTTCAGGACCTGGGGATCCATCACTTGTAAGAGAAATATTGCAGCGCGCAGAAAAGAGTCAGATTCTTCATTAAACTTGTCAGTCGGGATGTCTCGTCCAAAGGCCAGGATCCACGTCCGAGCTCGCCCGGGGAGAACGAACAGGGCGCTCGGCGGCGGTAGCACCACCCGGCAGCAGGCCGTACGATCGGCGGCGGGCGCGATGAGATGAGAAAGGGCGAAAGTGACCCCGCGAAATTTGCCAGTTGGACGCTAGAAATCGAATGTGCATCAATATGCATCAGGGCCCTGTCTACCATTCCCCCCCACCGTTAGCCCGAACCTTGATCTCACCGATGTTCTTTTCATAGCCAGAGACATGCAGGACGCAGGCCAAGAGCGAACACGACGGATGGGCTGCGCTCGCTGAGGGATTGGCGGCGGCGATGGTGATGCCCAGCGATGAGGCGCCTACCAACGGAAGAGCTTCACGCGATAGAGAGGCGAGGCGAGCTGCAATCTACTGCGACGCAACCCCGACGGGAGACGCAGACCGCAGGCGCAGACGCACGGCGCCGGGGTGGCGGAACCCTCGTCTGGCCTCCCAATGGCCGAGAGACGCCGCTGAATGGGGCTCCGTACGGTGTTGTGTGGACGAGATCGGGTGTCGACCCTCGTTGGTCTCGTCCAGCGATGCAAAAACATGTGAGGCCGCGTTGGAGCAGCGTTCGAGGCCGAGATCCTTCGCAAATGTTCTCAAAATCTGCCAGGGTCGACGGAAGGCGTCGTCGGCCTTCTTGGCAGATTCCGTTCCAACAGACGAGACTCTCTCGGTACCCAACGACAGTCCTTCAACGAGCGCGATGGCAGCGAGTTACGAAAACCGACCGTGTCTCTGGTGACGTCCGACAAGCAGAGGTCTCGTCGCACTCGGCAGACATCTCTGACGATGGGCGTACAGCGGGTTCAAGCTGAAAGTTCACCGCATTCTGGACGAGGGAGAATCCGGGAAGGCTGTCTTGGCCGCGTGTTGCAGGGCATCTCGACCTTCTTTTTCGTGATGATCAGCCCGGCGCTGACAAGGGCCAGATCCCTGAGAAGGGACATCGGGCGTGCATCGTGCGGTCCACCTGGTGGCCGCTCATCAGCGCTACTGCGTTTGCGCCTGTTGCGAGCAAGTAACTCGACTGGCCTGGTCGTCTTTTCCATGCATTTGCAGGTGATTTGCAGCCACGAGATGGAACTTGGCCGTTGTACGAAGGTCGGTAAGAAGGTACAGGACGCATAGGCCAGCCGGGCCTACTAGCGGCGCTGCAGGGCTCAGCAGATGGCGGGAGCCAACGAGCGAGACATGGGGAGAAGATGAAGCCACTCGCACTAGCAAAAGTCAAGCTCGAGGTGAGGTGTCGTGCAGAAAGTCGGACGTGGGGTGGAGAGGCAACGCGATTGCTGCTGGGGTGGTTTTGGGGGCAAAGTCGAAAAGTGCAAACTGCAAACTGCAATTGGACATTTGGCTGGGCAGTAAACTTGCTCAAACGCTCTCAGGATGCGTGAGGCAGAAGGAGCGATGGCGCTTTCTGGCCTTGGCACCTGATCCCACCTGCGCCTTCCGGAACATACGATAACGCTGACGGCAGGAAGGGCCTTTCAAATGTTCCTTCCTCTCATGAGTCTCGACTTCGATGAGGGAAGGAAGCAACGGAAAAAGTCTTTGAAAAACTTTCATTCGTTCATTCCGAGGCCATCGCTTAGTGTTTTCTCACCTCTTGCCCCCAACTTTGGCTAAACTTGAGTGTGGAGCCTCTCATCTGATAGCAGCCAGCCAGTCCCTTGAGTCAATCGCATGGTTCCATTTACACCGGTGGCCGCGATCTCAATCCCAGTCCCAGGCTGCCCCCGTACCTCCCCTACCCACCGAATCTTACATGCTCTTGCCAAGACCTGCATCCTTGAATCCTGGATGTCTTTCGGGAAGGAATCCAGCGCATGTGGGGGGAGGTACGAAGTTTGTCTCTGTCCCCTTCATCGGTGTTAGGAAAGAGGCTTGATGATCCCCTATGCACCTTGTGGTCTGCGTCCATTTAAACTCTCTTTGATCCGCCGTTTTTGGAACTGTTCGTCTTTTCTTCTCCGGTTCTCTATCACATCGATTCGACTGCAACAAGGCATACCCTGCTAGTATCGATCCGAGATCAAAGTCTCCGCTTTTTGGACGTTCATCTCTGATATTCGAGTATCTCAACAACACTCCAACATCGATTCAACCTTCCGCGACCACTGAGTCGACACAACACCAAGATGGACGGCATGAGTATGGCCACCACCACAACCGCCATGTCGGCCACTGGCACCATGACCGGTATGGCTGCTGCCACTAGCACCAAGGCTGCCATGTCAATGGGTGGCGGTTCCTGCAAGATTTCTGTAAGTCGCTTGTCTCCACCAAACACCACCAACATTCTCAACCTGGAACTGGACAATCACATCATGAAAACATACTAACTGACCCCATAGATGCTCTGGAACTGGACAGTGATTGGTAATTTGGGATTTCTTCTATATGCCGAATTTATGCCAAAATTGCACTAACACAACACCATAGACAGTTGCTTTATCGCACGATCCTGGCGCATCACTTCCCATGGAATGTTTGCCGGCTCTTGCATCGGCGTTCTTCTTCTCACGATGTCCCTCGAGATGCTCCGCCGCGCCGTCAAGGAGTACGACAGATACCTGATTCGCAACCACCAGGCCCGCTATGCTGGCTCCGGTGCCGGTCCCAGTTCAGAGAGTGCCGGTGACAACGGAAAGGGACCGTCAACCTCCGTCACCGCAGCTGGTAACGCTAGTATCCCTCCCTTCCGACCGAACGCCCTCCAGCAGGCCATCAGGGCGCTGCTTCACATGGTTCAGTTCGCCGTTGCCTACTTCATCATGCTGTAAGCTTATTCTCAATATCACCCTATCCTTCAACATCGCTGACTATTCGCCTAGCCTCGCCATGTACTACAACGGTTACATAATCATCTGCATCTTCCTCGGCTCCTACATCGGCTCTTTCATATTCCAGTGGGAGACGCTCTACGACGGACCAACCTCTGCCGCCAAGGAGGCTACGGTTTGCTGTGGCTGAATGTGCGGAATACAAGCAATGTGCTATCGAAGGGGGAAAGGGGATCCCCAGACATGGAGTTGAATAATACTATACCCGGACAACTGCGTGCTGTCCTGTTTGTTTCAATGCGTTAATCCAGGAATGACATTAATACCAAGAACCTCTCCCATTGCCGTACGTTATTGATGCAATCTCGACGTTCCCTAGGCTTGAAGTGTTATAAGTATGCTGCCTTCAGGAATGTTTCCGCCACGATAAGATCGTCCAGCACTTGTGGTTTTTGCCTCACCTTTGGCCGTCAAACGCCGGGTTGGACAGAGTAGACGTAGCGCGAGACCGGTAGGCCTGTTCTCCTTCTCTCTTCAGCCACGGCGTCATCCTCCGTCTCCTTTATCCGTGGAGTATGTGTACACGCGGATTGGGAGTAGGAAAGAGACTATCGCATAGTCACGATAGATGTACTCAACGCATTGAGCGACCGGACTTACCACATGAGCCTATGTATCCGTATGATTGTTTCCCAGTACAAAACACAAGACCGCTGTACTGCTGTGACTTCCTAACGTGCGTAGGAGACTCCTTGCTTTCTACATATTGCCGCTGCCATGCGTTTGCTTCTTCTTACTTATGGGCGCCCAAATGTCTTGCTCCGCTCTCAAGAGTTGATTGTTTAGCACTACCTTCAATGTTACCCCAAGAACCCCAACCTGCGATGTAGCCGTCATCGTCGGATATGAAAGCCTTCCAGTGGCTCACGGCCGATCCGTTATATGCGTGAGTGAAGGAGATGAATAACATTGGGAAGACGGGGATGAAGACCGTGACGAGTGTGTGTTGACGAGGAACGACCTCTCGTGAGCATCTGACACCACCGTCACAACAATCACAACATTATGGTAATTCATCGCCATAGAATCCTATACTTTACGGTGCTGTTTCATTTTGTATGGTGTTGTGAGTCAGCCAAATCATTTGTTCCTAATGATCTTTATACTTTTCTTCATGATCAAGTTTCATTTTGCGTGCTGCCTGCCAGCCACGGCGGGTAAGAGCCTCTTTCAAGCACAGGCTTAAAATTTCGCGATGTACAAGTAGCACAACTCGAATCGCTCCTATCCAGCAATGGACAGCCCAATTCGTCCCAGTCCCTCTTCAACCACCCACCGGCTCAGGCAATCTCTGCTTAAACCTTGGGAAGAAGTGCCGGAGGCGCACCCGTAACGTCCTGGGACCCCGCCAATTTTCATTCATCAACTTCGTCTTCGTCCGTCACCACTGAAGGTCCCGCGAGTTTTCGTCCACATATACTGAGGACGGGCAAACGACTGGCAGGCGGAAGATTCCGGTACGCCGATAAGAGATGTCGTGATGAACCACAACCTGCAATCGAGGGAGTCAGGCTAAGCAAGGCAATGACTTGAAGGATAATTAAATTCTAAAGATGAATACCTGGCATAGCGACAAACTGGGTGCCTCAAATGTCCATACCTTCCATCTAATTCCAGGCAGCCTCTTATGGAGAGAGTATCAAGTTCACATCCTGGGAGATTGCCTTGCGTCTCAGTCTTTCTTGGGTATAAGGAATTAGAAGTGTATATTACACTGGAGTGTTCGGTCAGAGCCTGCCTCTGTTCCGCACAATATGCTCCTTTCACAATCACTCTTCACTGGGGTTCCTAGCATTTTGTGCGAAACACCCATCTGAACTTCAATTAGCAGATGGTGAATGGGTGCCGTGGCCATGATGGTGCGTCACTTTGTCTTACGTGGTTCAATGTCAAGGAGTCCTCAGGTTCCCCTTCGCCTTTTGCTGTTTTTGCCGTCTTTCGCCTCCTCTTTAGTATTCTTGATGTATATTTGTTGGTTTTGATGAAAGTTTAATAGCAAACTGATGTAAAGCTTCCAATCAGCGCCAACAATCCTAGATATTGCAAATTTGCAATCCTACCCGGTTGTGTATCATGAAAATGTGTTGATGCTCTCTATGTTTTCTATGGTTAGCTGAGAGCATATCCGGATGCATACCTCACTATTTATAGGTCACCGACCCTCATATTTGCATGAACTTGAGGCTAGATACATGTGCGCGTTGTAAGAGATGAGAGGTTTAGTTTTCTAGGGTGTTGTCATCACCGCTGATGAAAGTTTCTCATTGCCTTAAGACCACTAAATCATTGAAAACACGGGTTAAGGTGGTGAACAAGCTGGAGACGGCAGAGATGAAGACAGCGAGCGGTATTTCGGCGAGGGGTAATGATTGCTGGTCAGCATGTTCGCACCACGTTCCGGTCAGGAATCGCGCGGGTCTCAAATAGCTGAACTCCTCGCCCATCTCATTACCTGGTCCCGTGGATGAATTAAGATCGTTAGCGAAGTGGTATTATATGATTAAAATGCTAAGTTGAATCTGCAGTACGTCACTCAGGGTCCATGCCGTCCGCTACTGCGTGCCGTCCGTGACGGACAACGGCCCCGACCCATACTGGCCTGGTGACGGCTCAGGACGTCCGCCACTTATAAAAGCAACTTCAGGAGAGCCATACATATTTCACCCGCCGAGAGAAATGTCTGGGTGCTTGGGGCGAAATCTTTCAGCGACGCACTAGGGACTTCCTCTGCGTTGATATCTGCGAGTGCCGATAGGGACGCCTTCGCAGCACCCCGTGGCTTCGAGCGTATCGGTCCGCTTCCTTCATCGCCTTTCGTCACTAGGCTTCCAGATCTTCCGAGTTTTCATCTCTGTATACGTCAACAGCGTACTTGTTGACGACTCGACGTGGAGTGTCAGAGTGTCAGACACGCCGCGGTGAGGTCCTGTGTTGGTTCCTTCACTGAGTCACTCGGCAGGGCTGGATCCACAGACTGGTATTGGTACATTTGTTCGGTTCTTGCTTACAAAACAGGTCTCTGTTTGTAGAAGACGGGGTGCTTTATGCCGCCGGGCGGGGAACGTTCATGTCTCTTGGAGAGGGGAGCGTGAGAGAGGTATATATTTCCCTATCATCGCCGACGAGGATTTGTCTCGTCAATGGGAACCATAACTCACACTCTGTATTCTGAGAACGGATGTGGACGTAAAAATGAGGGTATGTCATAGTCGGCATCGAGTTATAACGATGGTAGACTTCTCGCAATTTGGCTATTGACAAGTTTCGGCTCTGCTCTTCTCCGTCGACTGAGTTCACTTTCCTTCATGATCCCTCGCCTATACATTATTCTTTGAGTTCAGGGTTCCTCTCAAGTCTCGAGGCTGCATTATTATGAAACAAGGTCCTCGACAATCTGACCGCATCCTGATGACCGCCCCATGCCTTGAACCATCAACGGTATGCCTATACATCGAACGTACTTTACCTCCTACATTTTACTTGGCCCCATTGCTCTTTTTATGCTGCTTGTCATGTTTTCAGCCAAAGAGCTGCGATACTAGCTGCGGGTTGGAAAGCACCTTTGTGATGCATAGATATGCACAAGCTGGGCGAGCCTGCAGTGGTCTTAAATGTAGATGAACGGAATCACACCCCATCACTCTGGAAGTTCTAAAATGAATCCTTTCAAGATTCACCCAGGATTTCAGAGCTCGACCGAGCTCAGCTCGTCTAATATGACAAACGTCTCGCTTCAAGTACAGCTGAAGTAGCGCCACATGCTCCAGGCGCGTAGCATTGTCAAGCAGAGACTCGACCCGGTGGTGCCTCTTAATGTTCTCAGGATTCTGTTTCAACTGGGCTTCACCTGCAAGTTGGTTGTTTGTTTGTCGGTGCCACTCAGAATTGGCGGCGGTGCAGCCTCCATTTTCTGTGTACTTGAAATCGGTGGACGAGCTCCGTGTGGGGCCGGCGATCGGAGGCGACTGAAAGTTGAAGACCGAAAGTCTTGGTCGCTTTATACCGACGGCATGGTGCATTTTAATTGGATGATGTTACAAAATTATCATTATGAGTTGCGCTAATTGATCTAATACTCAATGGGGCGGCCTGTGCCGTTTTCTGAGAGATGAAGATAGACACCACAAACAGAATTGGTCATTGGTAGTTTCAATGAATTAATCGGCCGCTTCCGCACAAATGTCACCAAAGCTGCTACAATCAATTCTCTTCTTAACTTGAGCTACTGAGACAGCATCTAGATGCTTCCAAGATTCGAACCCTCTTGTTCAATCAACTGCAAGACCATTACCCGTCGGTCCTGGTTTCATACGCGGGAATGATCCCCCCGTAACGGGCAACGAACAAGTTGTTAGCCGAATGCATTGTCAGACGGCCCGCATGAGAACTTACCGTCAGCCCAGGCTGACTGTCTCACCTTTTTCAGCGTCTCGCGTCTTTCAACAGTATTGGATATGACATAAGAGGCTTTCGATAAACTCTCTGCCTACCGGGGCCCGTCCGCAATGTCTCTCGTGTATTAGTATACGTTCTTCGGGGCAACTCCGTCCGCCAAAGCATCGAAGCCCGCGCCAGCAATTCGCGTCCGCCGTCCGAGACTCATCATGAAAGAAGGCGCAGCCGTTTGACGCATCATCGTCTACAACGCGTCCGGCACCATCCATATATAACCCCATCGACAAGACGCCTCGTACTTCGGCGCCAAGGCGGCTTCACTCGAACGGAGTTTTCGCTAAATGCCGATCAGAGACCGCTGGGCGAAGGATTTCAGGGCGCTGCAAATCCTGCTCTCCTGTTTGTGGCAGGAATCTGCGCTGACGGGATTAGCGTGATTTTCGCCTGCACTACTGCACAGCCCTGTGGGCAGGGGTCGGAGTTTTGCCCAGCCTCTGAAAACTCCGGTCGAACGTCAGCGTGGTGGCAGTAAAAGGCAATACGAAGTATTCTTACCTCAGCCTGTTAAGCTTAAGTGTTTTTGACCTTGCGAAGTCTGGCGTCTTTTCGGCGGGCGGGCTTCTTTATTAGACGTCCCGATCTCACTACCCGTCGCCACCGGCTTCACACGTGGATCAACGAGAAAATCGAAGGCAGACGGGAATTTAAAAAGTTCCCGATTCACCTTCAGAGCATCCGCCCTTCATTCGAGGCATAACGTGTATCTCTTCCAAAGAAGAACATGATGTCTGCGGCGTCATCTTCCGAGCAATCGACGGGTTCTACTCCGGATCGCCCCCGGGCGCCGGCGGTAGCCAGATGGGGTGCCGCTTGCGCTCCGTGTGCGACGGCGAAAGCAAAGTGCCTGCGATCGAATAGCAAGCCTGGGTCGAAGTGTGATAGGTATGTGCAAGTTCCATCTCAGTGCCAGCATCTCGAACGGTCAGTTTGCCGCGAAGGGAACGGACATTTGCCGAGAAGTCCTGGTCCGGAGCCACTTGCCGCACCAAGCCGGAAGCCCCGTGTGAAGCCACAATAGGAGAAGATGCCAGTTTGGGACAGCTATGCGTCTATGATAGGATAGCCTTGAGGCCCTCTGGTCATTCCATGAGACAGTTCACTAACGTGCTAGTGCCATTTGGCGCCTGAGCAGGTGCGATAGGCTGTACAAAAACTGTACAGAGCAGGTACACAAGCCACGGAAGAAGAGACAGAGCAAGCCCTCGTAAGTCGAACGCTTGAAGCATCTTATTAAGCCCTTGCTCTTTAGAAGTTTGGGCGTCCCAACCAGTTCTTCGATGTCAGAGCGCGCTTCTAAATGAGTGAATCCATCATCTTGCTAACACAGAAATGGCAGTAAAACCAAGCAGCTTGAAGAGCGTCTGAACCGCCTCGTAACCTCTTTGAGGGTAACAGGCAATGTCTCTGGCCTCCCCAAACAACCTGAAGGAGATTTGCCTAGACGTCCCATCGTGATACCAAACCACGAAACCACACTTCCTCCCGGCCATCCGGACTTCTTGACTCAGTGCCGCTCATCCCCTTGGCAGCCATCTAGCAACTTATTGGATGCAGGCCCTGTCCAAGTACCTGAGATATACAACTGCTTCGTACCGCCATCATGCATATGTCGTGCTGAACCAGGCGAGGCCCCTGGCCCTCCCGACACAGACGACAACCTGCTGGGGATCTACAGAGACGAGATGGCGCCGCATTTCCCTTTTGTGATCATACCTGCAGCTGTGACAGCAAGCACGCTCGATGCAACACGGCCCTTCCTCATGGCTTCTATCCGTATGGTCGCATCTATTAGGAGCCCAAGGTCGATGCGCGGGCAGATGTACCGTCTACTCAGCTACATTGCTGACCACATGGTCCTGAGGTGTGAGAGATCAATGGATCTTCTGCTGGGTATAGTTGTCATCCTTGGATGGTTCCACCACCACTGTATCGCGCATGCTCAGTTTGACATGCTCGTCTCACAGGCAGCTTGTCTTCTTGGGGAGTTGGGTTTGAAGCGTGGCCCCAGCCTGACAGAGCGGACAAGACTTATCGTCATGCGGCCGTGCGAGTTGAAGCAGCGGACGAACGAAGAGAGGAGGCTGCTGTTGGCCGTATGGTATCTCAGCTCATCGTAAGTCTCTGTATCTTCAATGTGAGCCAGGATTTCTAACCGCTTGCAGGGTCTCCTTAGACGTTCAGCAAATCGACCCCATGAGGTTCTCGGCATACATGGAGCAATGCTTGCGTGAGCTGGAAGAGACCATGGAATACGAGTCGGACATTCACGTTATCTACATCGCCAGAGTTCAACGTTTAGCGGAGAGGATCTCTCAGATTCGTGCAAACGAAGACTGGGATGGGGGTTTGGGACTTCCGAAGGCTCCAATCTCAGCCTACGCGTCCAGCTTCCAGGCCGAGCTAGACAAGCTTATCGATAACATGCCTCCAAGTTTAGAAGACAAACGTAAGTTTTCGGTTTATCGACAGTGATCATTACTAACAAAGGTCTAGACTTTCTGAAAGTCCAAATGGCCACCGCGCGGCTCCGTCTCTACGAACCACCAAAGATCGACGCCGAACTTCTCGCCTCTCTGTCAAATTCCCTCAAGTCCCTCGCTTCAGGTCACAACTCGGCTCTGGATATCTTTTACCAGGCCAACGCAGCACTGAAATCATGGTTCGATGCATGGCTCGCAATTCCAATCTCCGCCTTCTACTCTTGCCCCCTCCCAATGGCGTTACAGCTGATCTACGCGGTGGTGATGATTAGTCGCTGGGCGTGGCTCGCCGCCAGTAACAGTGAACCTTCAAAGCTTGCACCCGTCGCCGACCCGTCGAATGACAACCCGAACGTGGCCCTGGCGGCGATGGAGGCAGCTATCAACCCCAACACGCCTGTCTCAATCTCTACGCCTTCGACATCGTCTAAGTCGCCTTCGCGGGATCAGTCTGCGCCTGAGAGAAGCCTGCCTCAAGTCCTCGCTGAGCTGAGGGCCCAGCTCTCGAGACAACCTGCGCTCATGATTGACGTAGCGGATATCCTCAACAAAGTGGCTACCCAGCTGGAGGAGGTCGACGCAACAATGGCGGCGGTGTCGGCTGACTCTGGGCCATGGAGGGGTAACATTTACACTTTGGGCGCGACAAAGGTTAGAATCGCACAGATCAGACAGAGGAGGTGGGCCGAAATGGTGTCCAAAGGGGAGGAGGAGGAGGATGATGATGAGGGTGGCGAACAGGATGGAATGGGTGAGGTAGACATGCAGGGGAACATACCAGCGAACTTTTCGACCATGGGAAGTTGGGGGTATGATATGACCTGGGGGCCTGATGTCTATGATATCGTCGACCCATCACTGTTCATGGATGGGATGGGCGGGGCGATAGGAGACTGGGCTGGTGTTGGGTTTACAGGCATGGCATCAGCGGAGCAGCTGGATGGGACGCATATTCCCGGCCAAAGATATGTGTGATATCGTTATGAGATCTTCATAATACCGAAACATAAATAGAATGCGGACGACGTCGTCTTTTGCGGTAGCCACCAAGAAACATCATATTATGGGGAGTCGTTCCCAACAGTTCTAACCAACGCCTTTCGCATTTATGATAAGTTGAGACAGCCAAAGCAAACTCCAACTTGCCAACATCGCGTTCCTTTGCCAGCTTTACTAATCATTACCCATGGAACGTCAAATCGTACAACGCATATGCTCACCAACTCCCGTATCCCTCAGAGCCAACGGAGATCCTCCTTGAATCAAACGAGTTGTCGTCCTCCAGGCCTCGTTGCCAAGACACAAAATCGTGATACCCGTGTTCGCTCGGATACCCCTTAGGAAGGTACTTCTCCGGAGGCCCACCGAAGACAGTACCAACCGCCGTCTTCACGATCTGATCAACCGCATCAAACGCAAAAGCCACGCTCTCCCTCGCCAAGTCTCTAATCTGATCGCCCCTGCTCCACCGCTTCCTACGCTCGTCCATCGTCATCTTCTGCCACCGGACCATATCGTCGTTGATCTCGATGTACATGCGCTCCCACATACCAACCTGCTCCTCCGGCAGCACGAGCTGGCGGTCACCGTGCCGCAGCCGCCACGTCCAGGTGTTATTCGGTGCGTCGAGCGTCTTGAGATCCGACTCGAGCGGCTGCTCAACCTTGATGAACTTCTCCTCGGCGGAGTACTCTTGGTGGTCGCGCGGGTACTGCTCATACACGGCGGTGACGGAGCCGGTGGTGGTCTTGTACTGGTCGATGACGTTCGGGTCGCGGCCCGGGCGGACGTTCTCCTCCTTGGGCGGGCTCTTCTCGAACATGAGCTGCCAGCCGCGGCCGGAGAGGGCTTTGCATTGCCATTCGCCCGAGTCGTCGACGCCGAGGCCGTGGTAGAGGTAGCGAACTCGGACGGAGGGGTGGATGAGCTCCACAGTGTTGGCCAGGGCCTTGTCGCGGAGCTCGTCCCTGTATAAGCCGGGCTTGCGTGTGGAGCTCTCTGTCCATTGGTTTGTGACAGTTCGGTAGGGGAGGGTGACTGCGTTCCAAGCGGCATCGGGGAGTGTCGTTACGAGGCTTTCTGGGCTGGTGATCTTGCCGAGACCCCAAGGACGGGCGTCGCTCGGGGACGGGATGGTGCGGAAGATGCGCTTCATCTCCTGCTTGCTGAATTCGACGCCGATCGATGTGAGCTGGTCCGCCATCCCTGAGAGGTTTGTTAGCTTTTCAAGAGCGTCGTACCGGGTAAAGTCGACTAACATGCTAGTGCTATCTTGGAAATCTGCTGGGATTCAGATCCGCCGCCAACGTTGCTGTGACATCCTGGGAACCAGACTTGTCGCAGCTGAGTGTTGTGATTCTTCGGGCTTAAGTTCCATAGACTTGGCGCAAAGGCTGTCCTTGATTCGTCCAAAGCGAGAGCCTGGAAGGCGTGGTCTACGTTAGGATGGACATCAAGACTGGCAAATCGAAGCTGCTGCAAATGTTAGGACACGCCCTTTTCACAATGCACCCCTCCTGATATGAATGATGCCATACCTCTGAGGCACTGCCTTCCCAGAAAGACCACGGCATCTTTGGGATACCGAAACTTCCAACGGTGTCGAAAACGCCTGTCGCAATTGACCGTGTTAGCAAGACATCTGATATCATAGTAACAAGAAGACTGACCAACTGCCTTCACTCTTCCTTCCACAGCTTCGAATGTTGTTTGGGCCTGCATGCTACTCCTCCTCGTGAGGCACATTTGATACTATTCTTGTTAGTGAAGAATCCCTTTTCGAAAGAGAAGTGACTTGTTACCTCTGACAGCTGACCGCGATACGCTTTTGCCATCTTCCTGAACCTCATCTGGCCATTGTCCTTCTTCATCTGCGTCATCCTCTTGAACAACTCCGCCTTCTCCCTCTCAAGCCGCTTCCTTAACGCTTCGGGGTTCAGCCTCCTCTCGTAGGTTGCATACAACTTGGCGAACTCCTCCCCGAGCTGTTTCTTCCGTTCATCAGACTCATACCCCCGGCCGTCGAGTTTCCTCTCAATCCTCTCCATCTTATCCATGAACTCCTTCTTGACTCTCTTCCCCAGCTGCTCCACAGTGAAGGCGCGTAGATGCTTGCTCGGATCGTACAGAAACTCGCTGGTCCACTCGTTGAAGGACTGGTAATCCTGGTAGATGTCTGCGAGATGCCGTAGGCCGGTGCGGTTGAGGAAGCCCAGGGAGCAGACCATGGAGGAGATGGAGCGGGCTGTGAATGCGCCCCGTGAGAATCCTAAAATGACGATCTCGTCACCGGGGTTGTAGTTGTCGCAGATGAAGCGGTAGCAATCTACAATGTCCTGTTGGCAAAAATTGGGTTAAACATATGAACTCGAGAGGTCTTGAAGGGGCGGTTTACTTGTCGAACACCTAGCCCAAGAAGACCTTCGAGGACGCTCGTTGTCTTTGACTCGTCGGTCCCGGGGCCGCGGTGGTAGTACACGACCTGCGGCATGCCGGTACAGCATTTATGTGCTACAGCCGCAGACAATCGACTGATGTTCGTCGGTATGGCATTGCGGCCAATGTTTCTGGCACGCTTTCGTCAGTCGCTGGTTGAGAAGGAGCATGTTCCAGGTAGCATACGAGCTGTTCCACGCTCCATCGCAGCAAATAACAAGTCGCTTCCTATCAGGAAAATTCTCTTCGTCGGAAACTGCAGCATGATGGGCGCAATCGATAAAGTTCTCCATCGTCGGGCTGTCCATGTCGGCAGGATGCTCTCTCACCTGGAGGTGGTATCTCTGACTTCGGGAGAGGGGCTTTCAGGAAAGATTCCTTCCTGCGGCGAACGATGAGCGCGACATGGTGTTTATGTTTACCATGCCAGATAAAAAAAACACCCGTTTATCAGCAGTAGCTGTCTCAAAACAGATAAACAGAGAAGCTTGCATGTGAAAGTCGGCGCACGAGCTCCGCCAGATCGGCGCGCCACTATCAAGGGGTTAAGCCGCGTAGGGCTGGCTAAGGTCGGGTTGTTATTCACTGAAGAATGCGAGTTGGAATTGGATGCCAATGCATCGTCGAGATTGTGCGTGTTGTGTGTAATTTGAGGGAGCTGGTGGCTTTGCCGCACAGTCCGTGTTTGGGAGCCTCGAGCCTGATCTGGTTTAAGGCGGTGGATGTGGTATCGACGGACTGATCGGACACGCTGTTCGAGAAGTTTGGATTTGGGGCTCGTGCATGTGCTAATTCTGTTCATTTTGTGGCTACGAATATACGGAGCACATGTGATCGAGGATCTTAGCTTGAAAGAGCTGCAAGTTTGAGCCGTGTGGAATCCGAGGTCATCTATCTTGGGCGCGGTCGTTGAGACATTGTCTCGATCGCGGCCAAGCGCAGACTCGTGGTTCCCGGAATGGCATATCCTTCGAGCGAAAGATGACGAAGCGGATGATTATCTACGAGTGATTCGATGGTGGGAATAATAGAGCGGCAAGATGGCTTGGGTAAGAAGAGGACTAACTCAAGATGGGAGTAGAGCGATGCGGGAACGCCGCCTCTTCTCCAAATCGTGAATTGGAAAAGTTGCTTATGCAATCGTCCAGCCATCATCTCTCCTCACCTCGTCTAAGCAGCAACTGTAGGAAAAGCAAACATCGATACCAATCACCAAAACTATTGGTTCGCAGCTCCTTGCGCGAAGCAGTCGATCCAGGGTCCTTGATGAGCGGTCAACCAACACCCCGGCCACATCGTCCGGCCTCGGTGACTCCCCGGCGCTTGTAGGGACCAGTTTGGTCACACCTGCACCCGTCCAACAAAACAATCCGAATCTCGCAGCACACTGCCGCCTTTGATTCGCGAGATCTTCCACGCAAAGATCCACCGACGACACTACCAACATGCGGGACTACGGCACGGGGACAGGGTGGTTGGGGCGGCACGAAGTGCGGGTGTGAGGAGAAGCTTAGAAGCTTCCCCGCGTATGCGGGGTTTGGAGGAACTCGGCCGATGAAAAAGGGCAGCGGTCCAGTTGTCGCTTGTAGTTTTGCGAAGGTTTTTCTCGTGAAGTGAGTTTGCCGGTGGGCGGAACAGATTCTTCCTGTGGCTTGAAAGTCAATTTTCACCAGGCGATTTGTTGAGGGGAGTGCCCTGTTGCGAAGACTTGCCAAGGCCAACTACATCGCCATCATCAGCTACATCGACAACAAGATGGCGACGGCGAGTGAGAAGGGCATAGGCCCTCGCGACATCGAGTCACCAACGATGAAAGAGGTATTGCGTCGCAAACTTCATCCGCGACGATGAGCAACATAACACTGACACGACGACAGGACATCCATTCCTCCTCCCCCGTCTCCTCCTCTCGAGAAGAAGAAAGAGCTCTGCTCTGGAAGCAAGACAAGCGTATCATCCCAATATGCGCCGGCATCTACTTCCTCTGCTTCCTCGACCGCTCCAATATCGGCAACGCCAAGATTCTCAACTCCTCGTCAGGGCACGACATGCAAACCGAGACGCATATGTCCAACAGGGACTTCACCATCGCGCTGATGATCTTCCTCATCGCCTACGCCCTCTTCGAGGTCCCATCCAACATGCTGCTCAAGAAGCTGCGCCCCTCCCGCTGGCTGGCGTTCCTCATGTTCTCCTGGGGCGCCGTCACCATCGGCCTCGGCGGCGTTAAGACCGGCCCGGCCGTCACAGGCGTGCGCTTCTTACTGGGCGTCTTCGAGGCCGGCCTGTTCCCGGGCCTGGTTTACTACCTCACGTTCTGGTACAAGCACGACGAGCGCAGCGTGCGAGTCGCCATGATCCTGGCCAGCGCGACGCTGGCGGGTGCCTTTGGCGGCGCGATCGCGTATGGCATCGGGCACATGAATCAGGTCAACGGCATGTCGGGCTGGCGGTGGCTCTTCATCCTCGAAGGCATCCCATCGTGTCTGTCTGCCTTCTTCGTGTGGTTCTTCCTGCCGGACTACCCCGAGAGCGCAGGC